TGATCGCGAGATGAAACGGTTAAGTGCTGCAATCCTGCCGGTCAGTCTTTGTACTTCACGTTTTGTCCTGGGAGAGACCATCTCTATCAGTGCCGTGATTTGTTTCGGGTTAGCCTCGATTCCCCGTTAAGTGACGAGGTACCCTAGAAATTCTCCGGACGCAACGGCAAATCGACACTTTGCCGGGTTCAACTTCATGTTATGAAGGTTGAGCCTCTCGAAACATTCCTGGAGGTGTACGACGTGGTCTTGCTCTTTGAGCGATTTCACGAGCATATCGTCGATGTACACTTCCATTTTTTTTCCAAGTTGTTCGGAGAACATTCGGTTGACGAGTCGTTGGTAAGTCGCGCCAGCGTTCTTTAGACCGAAAGGCATCACTTTGTAGCAGTAGGTTCCACGATCGGCTATGAATGCGGTTTTCTCCCGGTCGTCGGGATTCATCATGATCTGATTGTATTCCGAGAAGGCGTCCATGAAAGATAAGAGTTTGTTTCCCGCGGTTGCCTCGACTAAGCGATCAATGTGCGGCAGCGGATAACTATCTTTCGGACACGCTTTATTGAGATCGGTGAAATCGACGCAGACTCGCCATTTTCCGTTCTTTTTCTTTACGACAACGGGATTGGCGAGCCAGTCAGGATATCGAACTTCTGTGATNAGATAAGAGTTTGTTTCCCGCGGTTGCCTCGACTAAGCGATCAATGTGCGGCAGCGGATAACTATCTTTCGGACACGCTTTATTGAGATCGGTGAAATCGACGCAGACTCGCCATTTTCCGTTCTTTTTCTTTACGACAACGGGATTGGCGAGCCAGTCAGGATATCGAACTTCTGTGATCGATCCTACTTTGAGGAGTTTTTCGACTTCGCTGTTGACCGCCTCGGCGCGTTCCGGCCCCAGTTTTCGTCTTTTTTGTTTGACGGGTTTGGATGTCGGGTCAACGTTGAGTTCGTGACATGTGATGTTTATGTCGATCCCTGGCATATCTTCCGCAGTCCAAGCGAACGTGTTCGAGTTTCGTTTTAGGCACGTCAGGAGTTCGACTTTTAAGGTCTCGCTCAGGTTTGCACCGATTTCGACACAGCGTTCTGGAAAATTCTCGTCGATGCATACCGAGATGACGGGTTCGCAGGTTGGCTCGCGCTTACCTTCCAAAGCCTCAGCCGCTCGCAACTGCCAGAAGAGTTCCGTTTTATCTTGCTCTGGGGCGTTGTCGAGGAATGTCGACTTCTTTTTCTTTTTGGAAGAGATGTCGACCGGCAGATTTTTTCGTTTTAAATCTGCGGCGTAGCAAACCTGCGAGGTTCGTCTATTTCCCCATATAGTCTCGATTCCGTTCGGAGTCGGGAACTTGAGACACATATGGTACGTCGACGGAATCGCTTGCATCAAATTCAACCACGGTGTCCCTACGATTGCGTTATAGGACATAGGTCGATCGACGACTTCGAACTCGACGTTTTTCACTATGCTCCCGGTGCGAACTGCCAAGTTGATCGTTCCGAGGGTCATAGTGATTTCTCCCGAGAGTCCTACTAGCGGGCTTACGTTTTCCGCGATTTCAGATAGATCGATTTTCATTCTCTCGAGAGTATTTTTGAAGATGATATCAGACGAGCTTCCGGTATCGACTAATATTCTCGCGACATCCATATTCTGGATCGTCAGCTCAATAACGGGAAGATCGTTGAGAGGTTTGACCGAATCGATCGTTGCTCTTTTCTCGAACGAGATGACGTCGCCGTTCAGATTAGGCATGTTATTTCTCGTTCGTTTTAGCGACTATTGTGTAAGAGAATCCGACCCCCCCCTCCTTTTAGCGCCAAACTATGGGAACCGAAATCCACACTGTCAATTTTCCGTCAAATATGGAAACTTAGGGTGAAACCCTAATTTTCCCGAGGTCCTGGATCTCTGCGAAAATCACTAAAAAAAACGATTTTAAAAGAATATGGATGAACAATGAAGAACAAAGAGTAAGAATTTGAATAAGAGTTTTTATTGAATTAGAATCGACAACTGTTACAAGAAGAATCGAAGAACTTAGACGTCGAAACGTTCTAAGGATCTGAATTGCTAGTCTAAACGCTAAGTCCTAAACTCCTAAGCTAACAGCCGTCTTTTCTAGGTCTGATTTCGTCCCCCCCTTCTGCCCTACGCCTCTGGTTTATATACTCCTTGCCTTGACGGTTCGATCTTTCCATTTTGCCGGATTTGAGTATTTCGGGAATCTTCCATTTTTCTCGATCCTTCCTTTTCTTCCGCGGAAATCTTCTATTTATCTTCAAACTTGCCTTTATTTTCTT